GAACGTTTATTATCGAACTTTAAATGAAAAACAACGGGTGACAATATCTTATATTGCCAAATGCTTCTCTCGTTTATGTTGCAAATGGTCCCTAACTCCGTATTTGGAAACGAGGTCCAAGCCCAGCTGCAAACGTGAGTGAGCAAAGCCTACGATTAGAAGGGAGGGGGGCATCTTTTAGGCGGGAAACGACATCCTATTTCCCATCATTCTCCTACCATCTCTTTTCCCTCTCTACCCCTGCGAATGAGGCGCCACCACTTGTCATTCCCTCCGTAGCCTCCCACTGCGCACCCCGCAGCCCCTCAGCCGCCGTTCATCCCTGCCACCCCCTCCCTCCCTGCGACGATTGGTCGACCGTCGCTGCTGCCCTACGCGAGGGCCACCCCCTTTCTCTCAGCGACGACTCTTGGCGATCGTCGCTGCCAGGTGGCCAGGTCTTCTTTGGGCTCTTCGCCGGCAACAAGCACCACCAGGTACACCCACTCTCCTTGGTCTTCCCTTCCTGCTGTGCGTAAGAGCACCCAAACCCTAACTTATTGATTGTGTTCGAATCTGATCCGCACCAACTCCACCCCGTCTTCAACCCGATCTCTCCATTTTTATTTTCTAAAAAAAATCCCACCAGTAGAAGCCCTTCAATTTCCCAACGTTTCGCCCCCTACAAATTCAGTCCATCCTTTGTTGTGATGTTCCTTTGTTTCGTTTGGTACAGACAGTTTTTGATCTGAGGATGGGTAGGGACGATGAGCAGCAGTGGTGGATGTATTATCATAATATTGGGTGTGCAAAACATTTTTCCCTTTTATTTTATTTATAATCATATCTAACTCGTTATAAACAAACTTTTAACATGCACACTTATAAACTTCAAAATAACTACGAAGTATTTTCAAACTAAATATGCGATGACTACTTTCATAACTTTTGATAACTCACTTGGTGACTTGGTACGTATGGAATGAACACAAGTCTATATATGTATTTATAGCTTTATGGTGGCAACCTTCTACACTTTTCTATATGTTAGAAGGTCTCTCATATTTATCTATTCCCATATATTTCTCATTACATAAAATATCAAGATCTAGAGTGTTCCTTGTAGAATATTGTTTGCCTAGATATTTCTCATGCAAAATATCTAGACATAGAGTATTATATTGTCTAAAGTACGATAATTACTCCAATTTATTTGGAAGGTTTCTCACGTAGAAGTTTCCTATTCCATAAGATACTAGGAAGGCAAATGTGTCACACCCCCTAACATTTTTTCTATACTATGATCATATTTTTTCCTCTTAATAAAATATTGCTTTTTCTACTCTAGAAGTTGTTTCTAACCCAAAAATATATTTTACTACAAAGGGGTAAGTAAAAAATGTTCTACCTGTAGAAAAAAACCATTTGTTCCATAAAGGACAACTAGTGTCATGTAAGAGTGGCAACATTCCTAATTTATTAATTATGCAGTATTGTTATTTGTACAATACTTTTTTCGAATGCATAATTGTTTTTATGGTTAAACTATTTCTATTCCTATCTGTAAATGCATCTAGCTCTTTAGTGGATTTTGGTGAATTGAATGACAACACCATTAAATGTCTAACAAATTTGTTAAGTGTTGAAAAGAAATTGAGTTTATTGCATACACTTGTAGATTGTGGAATGAGAAGTGTATATAGGTTCAACAAGAAGGCAAACTTGATGATATTCCACATAATGTTCAAATCAAGGCCAAAGTTGTATATTGTTGTATTGGAAGATCATTAAAACAATCTACTTCAAGCAAAAGACAACAATAAAAATGGAATCAATGAGATGACTTCTATGTTGTGGGATACCATAGCATCATGTGAAAGCAAGCATATTTGGCAAATGGCAAATCGGACATGAGTTGATGATTTTGGATTGGTCTTTATAGTGGCTTGCTTTGCATGAACAAGAAGAGTTTGATAGTGGATTAGCTTTAATTAAGGATTGAAGAATGAGTCAAGAATGCATAAGTGAAGAAATACCAAGCAAATGTTTAAATGACAAAGGACACAACTCATATTGGATATAAGTCGGTCTCTATGTTGGTTTGCTTGTATGGATAAAGATTTGAAAAATTACTTTGCATTAATATGATCAAGCTAAAAGTATGAAGATAGAGAATTGATGTGAGTGTTAGGAGTGTCAAGCCAAAATGAAGAAGATTTAAGGAATCGTGAATTGGCTTGACCATATTGATGTTGATTCATATATCTCAATCTATGTGAATCGAACTAAAGCTTGATTGATCTCAACATTCATATCTAGAAGATATTCAAGCAAGGATCACAATATTAAAGAAATGGTTTTTCAATAGATGCTTAATATGATGTGACTTGAGCATGGCTTGATAAAGTGAAGATAGCAAGAAAAGGGTTTCGAGGGACTAAGCGAAGGTGAAGGGCAAGCGACGGCTTGAGAACCGAGGTACCATGGCTAAGGTGAAGAAGAGAGTACTTGCATCGAGTCGAGGAACTAATCAAGCTATGAGGAGTCATATTATGTTGAGGATCAAATCATTAGTGGAAATGACTTGAAGCCATGAGGTGAACTCATTTGTATGTAAATTGTTCAAGTCACATGCTCAAGGTATAATGGGAATGAGGACAATACATTCGATGGTGGAGCCCCAATTATAAAAGGATGCGGTGATCAACTCAAGGGTGTATAAATTCTTTGATATTTTAAATTTGAGTTTAGGAAAAGCCATACTATAAAGGGGATACAATGCACATGCTTTAATGTGCAATCAAGTGCTCATTTACCCACCAAATATCCTTAAAGCCTCAGCCAAGACAGCCATGCTTTCACTTTGCCACCTTTGCTGTCCTGGGCAGTGCGGCAGTGCCGCACCCAGAGAGTGACAGTGCCGCTGTGCTGCAGTGCCGCAGTTAAGTTACGGCAGTGCCACACTTAACTGATTGTTGGGAGCACAGGGGTATTTATACCTTCTCTTCTCCCTCCAACGGTAACCGTTTTTCAGATCGACCATTCCCACTCCTAATGCGACCAGAGCTCTCTCTTGCTCCTCTCTCTCCATTGGAAGGATTCCAAGCTTCTCCTCTTGATTTCTAATCAAATCCTTGTGAGATTAAGCCTCCAAACTGCATTAGAGAGCAACCCCAACTGTTCTTCAACTGCCAAAGCACTTGGTTCGCGTTTTAGCCGGTGGATTGTATTTGTTACTCTTGGAGCTTTGCTCCTAGTCGGCTAGGCGTCGCTCGGAAGCTTCCAATCGATTGTGGCAGCTTCGGGACGTTTATGATCACCCTCTATAGCTAGTAAGAACCCCTCATATCAAAAGACTTGCTCTCTTGACTTGAGAACGAGGATAAGGTTGAAAGAGACCAAAGCCTTGGTGGCTTCCTCAATAACGTGAACATAGGCAAGCCTTAGTCACGAGCTAAACCATGGGATAAACACCTTGTCTCTCTTGTGTTCTTGCTTTGTCTTGTGCTATACTTGTTTGTTGGTGATTCTAGGGTTTGGTCTCGATCTACTTGTGCATAAGCTTCCGCTAACATCCAGGAGGTGAAACAAGCTCTACTCTACCCTAGGAAGCTTAGTAATTTACCCGATCTAAATTTCCTTGGATATATTTTGAATTGTACACTCAAGCTTGTCTGCAGGTGCGGCAGTGCCGCTGTTTGTGTGAGGCAGTGCTGCAGTGCGGCAGTGTTGCTCCTCTGGAGCGGCAGTGCCGCACGTTGAATTTAACTTATGCTTGAGTTTATTTTAAACAAGCCTATTCACCCCCTCTTATCCTTTCACTATCCTGTCATGTCAAGCCTTCTTTTGCTCTTGCCTCATAACGATGTATATCTTTTCAGCTTGTATACCTTTGTTTTCGGTTGGAGCTTTTCTATGGACTTAACGCCACTATGTGCCTCTACTGTCTTTGTGCCTTGCGGATAATAAACACTCGCTTAGCCAGATTTGTTTAAGGTTGATAAAGTGCGACAATTCTAACACACGAAAGTATTTTGCAACCTAATCTTTAACCCTGTTACAACATAAAAATCCTCAGAGAGAGTGCTAGGAAGACTCAAATTGTTCACGAGATATATTGAAGTGCCAATACTCTGTATTAGTTCTTGTTAGAGCATGAATTTTTTTTAATTAGTTCATACCATTTTTTTATTGATGATAGCAGTGTTCCTAGTTCATGGGAACTATTGTTTCATGTTTAGCAGCACAAAAATATTTAATATTCACTTGGGAAATTGTCACAAAGAGAAAATTGTTTTAATTTTAGAAAAATGTTGTTATCGCTTGTTGATTTGTGAAATTGGTATATGTTCCTGTGAAAATGGCTTCTAGCTTCAATAGAAAAATATTCAACCTTAATAAAATATAAAAAGTTCAATTTACTTATTTACAATGTACTATATATTTACTAGCCACTGATAGTGTCCAATGAAGAGAATAGATATGAAATTTCTGTTATGTTATTTAAAACAAATGTTTTACTAGCCATTGATAGTGTCCAATGAAGAGAATAGACATATGAAATCAACAAGAATAAAAAATTAAAAGGGAGAGAAAGAAAAATAAAAAAAAAACACAAATTTTCAAAGAAACTGAAAAACGGCCCACAAGAAGCCCGTGCGTTTTTTTTCGCCGTCTGCTTCCCCATCCGTCCGCTTCCCTCCTCCTCCTTCCCTCCTCCTCCTGTCTCTCTCTCTCGCTACCCTCTCGCTCCCAGACGACTGTTGGGCCGCCGCCGCCCTTGGCCAGGTGCTGAGACTTTCCTTGGTCTCTTCGCCGGCGACGAGCACCCACCAGGTACTCCCACCCCTTCTCTTCCCTTCCCTTATGCTGTGCGAAGCTGAGCACCGAAACCCTAACCTAAAGCTATTTAGCTATTTGACAATCCTCCTAACTTCGAAGTTTTTGCAAAAATTATTCGGTGTACATGTGTATACCCATGTCCCTTTACTGGATCCGCCCCTGATGAGCAGGTTGACTCTATGGAGATTGACGACCAGAAGCAGCAACAGCTAGAAGCCCCCGCTGCCGTGCCAGAAGGGTTCAACACTGACTATCTCCGTGTCTACTACGGTAAACTGATTCCCCCTTATAATGCATGGAACGGACAAGTAAAATGAAACAGGATCCATACCATCTTGTCGGTCCATAACCATCTATTTTCTATCTTCATTTATCATTGATTCTGCACAAAGTTGTGATGTTGCATCACAGATTAGGGGATCTTTGTTGTTTCGATTAATTCTGTGGTTGCTTTTGTTGTATGTGAATTGTGATGGAGACATCTAACAGATGAGGAAGCAACTGGCTAGCATTTGCTTGCTGGAATAGTTCCCTTCTCCCCCCAATTGCTTGAGAACTTTAGTATATCTTGTTTTCATACTCTTTTTTTTTTCTCAAGACCTTGCACATTTTGTTATTCATCTGGTGTAACTAGGCATGCTCTCACCTGACTGAGGCTTTGCATTTAAGAACCCGCTCGACTATGTAAGGGATACTACAGTGTCTTTGATTTCCTGCTGCTTGTGCTAACAACCAGGGTTATGATCGCAGGAAAGCTCTTCCCATATGGTGATTTCTTCAAATGGCTTTGCTATGGAAATGGTTTGTGCTCACATCCTGGTTCTTTGGTTAGGAGTTAGCCTTGCACTCGTGCTGTGTCTTGATTTACCAAATTTTGTTTTCTATAGATGGAAAGCACCCCGGATGTGATCAGTCATATGTTGGACGTCGAGAGTTTTCATTTACACTGGAGAATGACATCTACTTGCGCTTCCAATCCTTTGATAGTGCTGCTGAATTGGAGAGTTCTATCAAGGAGAAGTGCCCATTCAAGATTGATATTGGACCTGTCTACAGCGTAGATGTATGATGCAGCATCGCTAAACACATAAATTTCTTTTTGAGTTTGATTCTAATTTTCTGCATTATACTCTTTTCGCAAGTTCTCAGCTACCTGATGCATCTTTGTTTTTCTGTAGCCTTCAAAGCGTCATGCTTACGCCCAATCTGGCAATAATGTCTTTGTACCAGTGGAGAGAGAACTAATTTTTGACATTGTAAGATAAGAAACTTGCATTATCTTTTTCATTCTATTTTCCTTTTATATTTTGCTCTGTAGTTTTGTGCAACAGTTGCAAGCTGTCAACATTTTTATTCTTCCCAGGATATATCTGATTATGATGATGTTCGCTACTGCTGCTCTGGAGCTGATGTCTGCTCAGACTGCTGGCCCTTAATGACAATTGCTATCAAAATTTTGGATACTTCTCTTAGAGGTATGTCATTTGATTATGCAATACATCAACTACCCACTTTTTCAAATTTATCCACGCGAACTACAGATTTGCAGTGCTTATTATAATTGAAATCATTGTTTGCAGATGATTTTGGTTTCAGTCACATACTATGGGTATACAGTGGCCGTCGTGGTGTCCATTGCTGGGTCTGTGATAGCAGAGCAAGAAAGTATGTTCGAATTTACTTTATCTGTTTCCTATGCCTGTTGATCCTAAAACACATGTTCTCGTGTTAGGCTAAGCAATGAACAAAGGGCTGCAATTGCTGACTACTTTCGAGTCTACAAGGTGACACACTTCATCATGCATTACTTTTGATGCCGTTTCTTGCCCTCCTTCAGAAATCTATTTAACCCTATGAATCTATCTCAGGGTGGTGAAAATGCACTGAAGAAAGTATCCTTGGCTGGACCTGTCCTCCACCCCTTCCTTGCGTATGTATTAACTGTCATGTCATTTTGTTTGATCTACCAACGAAAATTGGAAGAGTTAAATTGATTATTATGTAATTTATGCTCCTGCAGCCGGTCATACATGGATGTTCTCAAAACCTTCTTTGAAGATAGGTTGCTCCTTAGCCAACAACTCTTTTCATCAGAGAGATGTCAGAAGATACTTGATCTCATCCCTGATGAAAGTAAGAAAAGGCACCATGAGAAATGAACGTTACTCTCTGACATACTCCCTCTATTTCAAATTATAAGATGTTTTGGCTTTTTTAGATACATTGCTTTTGCTATGTATGTAGACATACTGTATATCTAAAATCATGACAAAAACTATGTATCTAGAAAAGCCAAAACATCTTATAATTTAGAATGGAGGGAGTAGATGAAATCTACTATCCCTTGTTTAGCATGCCATAGATCTGTTCACCATCATTCTGAATTGGATTTGATTTCTAGATGTTGCTAGTGAGGTCCATGACAAGTGGCAGGGAAATAGACGATCTTCTGTTTCAAAGGAAGATGTCAATGTGACTAGATGGGAGCAATTGAAGACGACTTTACAGTCAGGAAAACACAAGGTTCATGTTTGATCTCCTACTTACTTTTTTTTTCTGTGTTTTATCCCCTAGTTCCTATTTACTTTTGTTCGGACATTTGTCTGTTTATCGATCAATGTTTACTTCTTTTGGTTACACCAGATCGTGTATAATATTCCAAGTTCTCAGTTACGATCATATCTGCTAATTCATCTGATTATGTTACATAATAGCTCTAATTGTTCTCTGTTTCAGGCTCAGGGGCTTCGTAGATGTGTGGAAGAGATTGTCTTCTCATACACATATCCTAGACTTGACATGGAGGTAAAAGAAAATTCATCAGTTGTCTGTGTTTGCACTGGTAATAATGTACTAATGTTCAAGGTTGCTCTCGCTCCTAATCAACTGTATACCCATGCCAGGTATCAAAGCACATGAATCATTTACTAAAAGCTCCCTTTTGTATACATCCAAAGACAGGTAAAAGTCATAATGCATTCAATTCCTGTATTAGTTTGTAATGTGATAATAAGGTGGCATGCTCTTATGCTCAAGAGAGAGGCTTTGTATACGCATGCATGTCCTTTTGAAACCTCTAGATTCCAGAACAGATGCATTCACTCAAATACCTTCGCCATTTTTCATTTAGTTTATTCTAACAACTGCAGGAATAATGTTTGTCACACAATGCACCCTATTGCTGACAATTGACTGTTGTTTATTTTTCTAGGTCGTGTTTGTGTTCCAATTGATCCCAGTAACTGTGATGATTTTGATCCTGCAGCTGTTCCGACTCTATCACAGGTATGGTCCATAGAGCCTAGCATGAGAAACACTAACATTTCATATCCTTCTGCCAAGCATCATGGTGCAATGCTGATTTGCTAAAACAAGTACACTTATACAGCTTTTAGGAGAGCTCAATGCTACTGGTTTTCAGACAGATTCTGAAAATAGTAAGTGATTAGAACCATGCTTCTTTTGTGATTTGTGTAAAAACTTATTATTTGTAATTGCAAAAAAAAAGGCATTCTAGTACCAACATGCAGCCTTGCCTAACAGGCTAATATGCCCTCTTTTTTATCCTATTGAGTTTCAGATTTGGAAAGAACGTCCCTCGGGAAATCCATCAGTTTTTTCAGAACTTCCTTTCTGCACCCATTGCTGAAAGCGTGCAAGGTATGGACTCTGTCCTATTTCATTTCTGTGCCAATGCCGGCATCCATATGCTTATATGTGAATAATTGAAACACCGCAAAATATCTTTGGTAGCAGAAACTTAGGCACTATATGATTCTCTTCATCCCCCAGCCCCCACCCAAAGAAAAAAAAAGATGCTCGCTTACTTTCCGTTAATCGAGCATTCTGTTACTAGGAATTAAAAAAAGTTAGGATGCTCGCTTACTTTCCGTTAATCGAGCATTCTTTTACTAGGAATTAACTCTATCTCATGGTTGTGACATTTCCTGAGGCATAAGTCCGAGTCTTTCTCTGGCATGTAATTTTGCAGGAGGAACTGGAAAGTGCATATAATGCAAAGCTTCAACAGTCCAAGAATTCCTTGAAGTGGTAAAAATCTAGGCATGTTTCTGCCTCTAGTATCAGCCCCCGTCCGGCTGTCCCTGAGCATTCCAACTGTGGCATGGACCTGGTGCTATAGGTGGATTATCTATGTGACGCTGCCAACCTGTGTTGCGTGCCTGGGACTGGGATGCATGCTACCATGTCAGTTTGAAGTTGTATCTACGAATGTGACCTGTTCAGGTTCAGGAATTGCTATCGTTAGGTTTCAGTTACTCCCAAGGGGAAATGAATGTAACACTTGGTGGCCGACGGTGGCAAGATAATCATGCTACCATGTCAGTTAAGTTGCATCTACGAATGTGACCAGGGGTAAACCTGTACTGGTGCTGGAATTGCTGCCATTAGGTTTCAGTTTTGGGCACTGCTCCAATGCTCTTTTAAAAAATTCACAGATCTCAAAGCAACCATCATCTTTTTAATTATCTTTTTCTTAATTGTTTTCCTCTTGGGTCCCCAATGGGTCCGGCCCATCCAACACAGCCCAATTTCAGCACGACCCAATCTCTCTAGATCCCGTTTGTTCGTAGGCTGGTTCGTTGAACGGCGCCGCCCATTCTCTAGATTACTTGGATGCATCTCCTAAACCAAGCAAATACCCAACCTGAAAATTACCTTTTCAGCATCTTAAAGTAATGAAGATTCCATTTGAAAAATCAAAATAAGGAAGTAACTCATACCATGCTCATAACGGCCAGGCTTCTAGAGTAGTTTGTGCGGCGCTCAAGCCATACTTCCGAAGTTCGACTCTTCAGCCACAGAACCTGCCACGGTTTATTTATATAGAATGACGCTACAATGTCGTAAATATAAAGGGCATACTCATTGAGAGAAGATACAACATCTTAGTTGGGTTTCGGTGATTAATGACGACACAAGATTACTATGACTAACGTGTGTTTTGTAGAGACAATTTTAGTTAGGTCATGGTAATGACAATTGATTGGACAATTATGATTTTTATGCCCCCGTCGATGGAATTTGTTTTGGTTTTTAAAGGATGGACGACAAGGTTAAGCACGGCTAGTTCTAAGTGTCATTTGAAGTTGAAGTGACACTTAGAATAGTTTAGAACTTTGTCTTTCCTTTGGCTGTACTATAAAGGGGTATGGCCTAGTAGCTTGACCTAGGTGGGTCTAGTGGGTTAGGTGTGGTGCACACTTATTAAACCTAGCGCTAGGTAGCTCAAGAATAGCCCTAAGATCAATTGGAGTCAACTTTATTCACGTAGGTTTTTGAGTTGAAAGTGAATGGAGGGTCAAATGACTGACCGGATGCTGGTCTGGTTGTGACCGGACGCTGGAGGGTGAGTCCGATCAGTTCATTTGATCAACTGTAGTCGTCTGGTACTGACCGGATGTTGAGTGGAGGAGCACCGAACGCTGGGGGTGCCTGCGTCCGGTCGACTCTAGAGAGGTTCTAGAGAGGCTTTTTCTTGACCGGACGCGTTCGGTGTGTGCTGACCGGACACTGGTCAGAGTCCGGTCAATCAACTGCAGTCGTCTAGTATTGACCGGACGCTGAGTGGAGGAGCACCTGACGCTGGGGTGCCTACGTCCGGTCGACTCCAGAGAGGTTCTAGAGAGGCTTTTTCTTAACCGGACGCGTCCGGTGGGTGCTGACCGGACGCTGGTCAGAGTTTGGTCAGAGCTTAGCGGTTCTCTCTGACATAGTGGCGGGCACAACTGACCGGAGCGTCCGGTCACCCTGACTGGAGCGTCCGGTCAGCCCACAGAGTGGTGACTCAGCCTCCAAACGTTATGTTTTGAATGATGGGGTATAAATACTTACTCCACTCGTTCATAGGAGGTCTCTTGCCTATTTGTTCAGCTGAGAAACACCTTTGGAGTGCAAGGGAGAGCAAGAGCCTAGTGAGGTGTTTGAGATTTGATAATCCAAGATTAAGAACCTCATTAGTGCAAAGGGAGTAACAAATGTGCATCCACCTTACTTATTAGGCTTGTTTTGGTCCAATGAGAGTTTGTGCTTGTTACTCTTAGTGATCGTCATCACATAGATGGCTCAGTGGTGATTGAGAGCTTGGTGATCATCCGACGGAGCTTGTGGATGACCCAAGTCATGTTGTGAGTGGTTGTGGGTGATTCACCACAACGGAGTGTCAAAGAATCAACCCGTAGAGAGCACTTGATCCTTGCGCGGAACAAGGGGGAGCTACACCCTTGCGCGGGTGCTCCAACGAGGACTAGTGGGGAGTGATGACTCTCCGATACCTCGAGAAAACATCGCCATGTTCCTTTCCCTCTCTTTACTTTGAGTATTTACATTTGAGCAATTCATTTCATGTCTTTACATTCCTAGAATTACCATGCTAGAGTAGGATTGGAACCTTAGGTGTAAAACTTTTGTGCAGGAAAACAATAGAAACACATTTTAGGCACAAGGGGTTGTAAGAAAAATAGACCCTAGGCCCATTTACTTTGAATTTTGGTGTTTGATGACCAACACAACTAAATTGGATTAATAAATTTGTAAGTGATTGTTTTGTAGTTCAATAGGGTGCAAGACGTGACTTGGACAAAGACGACGTGATGATCCGATGATCAACACCTCAAGAAAGACATGTGAAGATGCATAGAAGACATACAAGGTCAAGCAAAGTCTAAGCACGAAGATTGAAACCAAGCCGGACGCAAGATCAGCGAAGAAACGAGCTCGGCAGATGTGACCGGACGCTGAGTAGCAGTGACCGGATGCACCGGTGACACTGTTCATCATCACGGTAGTGTTTTCAACATGACTGGACGCAGTACAGTGGATGACCGGACGCAAGAAGTGCAGCGTCCGATCGAGTCCAGAGAGGTTCCAGAGCAGCGCTAGCGCGACCGGACTCAGCCAGAGTCCGATCAACACGCGCGCTCAACGGTCGGGACGACCGGACACGTCCGGTCAGGACGTGATTAGCGCCCGGTCAGTAGCAGAAAAGCGGGTTTCGTCTCCAACGGCTACTTTCTCAGTGGGGCTTATAAATAGACCCTCAACCGGCTATTTGAGTAGAGTGGAGCTGAGAAAACATACCAAGGGTGTTGATACACTATTTTAGTGATCTCCACTTGCATAGTGCTTAGTGATTTATTAGATGATTAGCGTAGATGCTTTGTGAAGTGCTTAGGTTAATTAGATCACCGCTTATGCTCTTGCTCTAGGTTTAGGTCTAGTGTTTGGTGAGATTTGCACACCTCTTACCACTTGGTGCTTGCGCGCACCATTGTTGTACATCGGAGGGGCTTGTAGTCTTGCAAGATCACACCAACCGCGTTTATGGTGTGACCGTCACCATGTACCGAAGGAAACAAGGCCCGCGGTGGTTCGGCCAGAAGCTTGATAGTGAAGACAACGGGGAGCGGTCCAGGAGAGGCACACCGGAGACCCACTTGCGCGTGGGGAAGGCCCGGGGCTATCCACGGAGTTACCTGACCGGGAGCTTAGCCCTTACGAGGGATTTCTTGCAAGGGGCTCCGACGAGGACTAGGGGAAAGTTTGCACGCTTCTCGATACCTCGGTAAAAATATCGGAGTCGTCGACGAAAGTTTGTATATCTCTATCTTACCCTTTAGTTTCTGCATTTATATTGTTTGCATAATTCCTTTTACGGTAAAGATAGCAACACACTAGCAAAACCGTAGTTGCACATTTAGATAGTTTATCTTTTGCATAGTTTTTGCTAAGGTTAGAAAAAGAGACCATAGTTTAGAGTTAGAATTTTAAGTTGCCTAATTCACCCCGCACTTAGGCGTCTCGGTTCCCTTTCAGGGGTGAAATGGGCTAAGTGTAGGACTTAAGTATTGCAAAAATTTAGAATTAGCCCAATTCACCCCCCTTCTTGGGTATCTTGATTCTTTCAATTGGTATCAGAGCCTCATGCTCCCTAAATTAGGCTTAACCGCCTAGAGCAAGATGCCCCACAGGGATGGACCTCCTCCTATCTTTGAGGGAGATGATTTTCCTTATTGAAAAATTCAAATGAAGGCATACCTAAAGGCCTTAGATGTTGGAGTTCTTAGAGCCGCCTCACAAGGCTTCCCAAAACCCAAGAATCCCGCCAACCTTCAAGACGATGAGGTTAACTACGAGAAGTAGAATGCAAAGGCTAGAAACACCCTCTTTAGAGGCCTTTGCAAGCATATTTTTAATCGTGTGCGAAACCACAAAGACGCTCATACACTATGGTCGGACATTTGTGCGCTCCATGAGGGAACCAAGAGTGAGCATGAGGAA